CAAATGTCCGGATGTTCCAAGTGTCCCTTAATTTTCAGGAGTGATAGTAACAGCTAGAGTAGTGCCACAAAGAAATAAGTGTGGAACATTGTCACAATATCCCTTCAAGCCAAATATGATCTCAAGAGGGGCGGCTGATGTGTTGATCATCTTGTATCCTTCTGCCTCAACTAGGCTAAAAAACAGCTTTGCTCCGAGACACTAATGGTGCAATCCTGAGAACATTTTCTGCTTAGGATTTCTGTATGAAGGGCTTCTAATTCTACAATAGGACACTCCTTTACCACTTTTTTCTTTCAGTAAAAATCCTTTGCAAAAGCCTTTCTCCTATTAGACAAGTAAAGAACAAAACCTTAGTGGAATCAGTTTGAAAGGAGAACAATCTGGTTTTGCTCAGAATATAGAATGTGTCAGGTTTAAAAACTTAGGACTGTTTAAACCGAAGTTGGTGTTAGCAAATAGCATTCAGCTAGGGGCAACGTGCATATGTAGAAGTTGGCTTCTGGATGAGTATTCTTAGCTGGATGGGGAAGTGTACTGTTACCCAAATCGGTATACACGTTTTGGGGGCGTAATTTGCAAAGACGTCCCCTTGCTAGCACAGAACAAATATATATTTGGGTACTTCAGTACTTGGCACCATTCGTCTGTGTATATCAGGGTCCAGATTCAGATCAGCATTCAGAAAAACAAGGGGAAAAAACAAACAGGGTTTTAATTTAATAAGCAGAAAAAAAGAGACCAAATTATACAATATGGTAAAGTGGCAATGAAAATTACAGAATGGAAAAAAAAAAGGTAAATAACACATAAAACGTGTTCCCTGGAGAAACTGCCTGCCTACCGGGGAATAAACCTACAAAGGAAAATAAGATATGCGAGCCTGATCTTGGTGAGAAAGGGGTGTGTGTGTCCTCAGTGGTGACAAAGAAGCGTCAGGGGATGAAACTGACCAGGCAGGGGAAGGAGGCACGGGGACAGGCCCATGGAGCAGAGCATCGTGAGGCCAACTGTGAGGCTAGGGTAACAGGATAAATCCAAATTAGTTACAAAAATTGGGGCTGAGGGGTAACTTTTTATACCTTTTTGCATGGAATGAGAAAGAGAAGGGATGTTGGAGTTGTAATGTGGGGATAATAAAAACGCAATTTTTCAGGGATATGCAAGCCTGAAATCTGTTTTTATTGAGGAGAGAAGTCTTCCTTTTTTGCATGGAGTGTGACAGAAATGTTCTCTTGGGGAGATTTGGAAGCAGATATGTATGTATCTATGGTGGGGTACTTGTCATTATTTGGGAAGGTCAAGAATCTTCCTGTCTGGTTATTGAGATATGGAGGAAATTGCTGGAATTGGCCCATTGTTTATTGGCCTGACTGCCTTTTGTTGGTGATGGTCTCAGAGACACCAATATGCTACACATGTTGTCCACCCCCCAAAACCAGTTGCACATCTTGTTAGAAAGCTGGTAGTAGCATCAGTCAGGTATCGGGAGCATAATAGGAGGCCTAGATTTAGTTACTATGGGTCCCCTTTGCTTGGTGTGCTGCTTTTGTAATAAATTTTGGTCTGTGCAGTCAGACTGCAGTACACGCATACAGTGGGACTGATCACCTTTACTTATCTTTTATGTGGAACCAACCAACCCATCCTGATGTTATGTGAATCATTAATATACAGTACATTAAACTGTTTTGAAAGCTGGTCTTTAATTGATATTCCCAGAAAGTACAAAATACATTCATGACACAACAGGTTATTTCCTAAGAGATACAATCAAACCAAGTTATTTGGGAGGTTTTCAAATCATTATGAGAATGCTGGATTTAATGTCATGAAGGTTAGGACCCTAACATCCCACCTTTAAAGCTGTTCAATATAGAAATGTTTTCCCTCCCAGATCTTCATGTAATTATTTTCCTGTGTTATTCCTATAATTTATGCCAATTGGGGTTTATGAACACTTCTGCAATCAACTTTCACTCAGAGTTGCAAGGTAAAACTATGCGAGCATTAACCTAAACCAAATCAGGGCTCTACATATGGTGCACTATAGTTAAACATTAAATAATCCAGAGAATAAAAGTCATATGTCAGCTGTCTCTCTGTAGCAGGGATCTCTGCTAGGTACTGTCTCACAACTTCTGAATTTGTTCTTTCTTCGGTGGAATGTCGATCTTTGAAATTAGGAAATGTCAGGTCTTCTGGAGCCCCTATTAGTCTCAAAAAATAATTGGCATCCTCTTCCAAAGTTTCAAATTTACCGATGAAATCATAGTTAATAATACAAGGGTGACACAATTTGCTGATCTGTTCCCAATGTATGTCCATCCCTATTGGACGATGGGAATCTAACAAATACTGAATGAACTCTTTGAACTGTACTCCTGAGCCTGTTGTCAATGCTTCACCATCTGCATTATGTCTGTATTTCTTAATAATTGACTTCCCAAATACAGGGTGGTAGTAGCTGTTTGGGTGTTCAAACTTATCTCTAAATGCAGATACTAATCTTTCCATGGGATCTCGTACAAATATAACTTTTGTGTATGTCTTTAACCGCATGTGTATTCCTTTTAAATCGTAACTGTCTAGTTTCTTCAAATGCCTTCCATAGTGCACAGTATCATGGGTAATATTATAAGTTGATTTGGCAAGGCCATTGAGTACTAGCAAAACCCTTTTCCAGTTAGAACAGCCTGCCTTAGGCACTTCACAATACAAGAGTTTGTGTTTATCTTCCACATATATTCTGGATACCATGCGCATGAGGTGGATCAGGGGTCTCCTTTCTTTAATGTATTTTTTGCAGAAATTATAAAGGAAAGCTCTTCGTTTCTCCTGAACTTCATCTATGGCTTTCCAGTGGTCATCTTTGATCAAACTCTTGTTCAAAGGGCGCATTACTGGGGATAAATTCACTTGCTTGAACTGTTTAAGAAGCAGTTTGATCTTTTGCTGCTCTTCAGATAATTCAGGAGTCAGGGAGGTAGCTATCTCTAGAAAGGGGTTAGCATTTGCCTGGGAAGACACAGTCTCAGTAAGAACTGCACGTGATCTGTCAAGCTTCTGAGAAGTGATCAACATTTTTGGTGCCCTTTTAGGTTCCTCTGTATAATAGAATTTGATGTCCTGTAAAAAACAGAGACGACATTTAAAATATGGTTACGTATTACATACATTGCTCTCCTTTCTCAGACAGGAAAAAGGCATCAAAGGGTTAAAAGTAATTACTGTTGTATTTCCTGATGTCAAACGTACATCCTAATGGCATAGAAGGTCACTTCAACAAGTGTGACTGTAACTCCAACATCTATAAGAACCTCTTTGCTATTGGAGTTCTATACTGAGAGGAATAATATAGATAAAACTGTACTTCCTTAAAACTGCACCTCTGCTGCTGGTACAGGAGTTATGAGATGGCCCAACCATTCATAATACCAGAAATGTAACACATTGAAATTGCCCAACCAAACTGCCCCTAGTCAAAAGACTATAGCATAGTTGTACCAAATCCATCCAAGCAAGAACACGTACACAACCACACCGTTCCTCCTGCTTATATCCTGAAGAAGAAAAGGCTTGCAACCTTCTGAACAGGTGCCAGCACAGCAGTACTCTTAAGAACTAACACGAGAGATGTAGCATCTGAGTCATTAGTGGGACTAGCATGCTTATTCCTAGGGAGATCATCCTACTGTAGAAAGTCCAGCACAAGAAAATGAAGAGTTTCCTCCTGCTCACAGGAAGAAGACACTGAACCACTAAGTAAGAGCCAATGCATACTACCAACATTTTGCTTCTGTTTATGGTAAACAGTGCACTGCTCATGGAAAATGAGTCATCCAACTAACTCACCAACAGAGATCCTGTCATTCTGTACTCCACTGGTCCGCCTGTCTTGAGGCCGCCTACCTTGCACTGCAGTGTTTTTTCCTGAATAGTAGGTACCTTCCATGTGCTAGGATCAATGTTCCCTCTAAGCTGT